TTCATATGCAACAATATCTGGTACTTTTTAATGCATATCCATTTAAAAAAATTAAAAAATAATCGTAAAGGAAATTTATAATGAAGTGATCTATTATGGCTCCGTCTATCAAGGTATTTTGAAGTCTACTGTATCAGGTATCTGCAACATTTGTCAGATCAGTAACTAACACCAACTTGGCATGTTCTTCACTTTTAATTATTGTCCCCCTCCTTCTTTTTATTAATCTTTGAAACCGATTTCAGGAAACAGATATCAATGTAATAGAGGAGGAAAGAGTTCACAGTTCAAAGTCAATCATCTCTTTGAGTATGACAACTGACCTTAAAGCACTGTCAGTGAAAGTTCACAACAACTGTATATAATAATGAAATTCTTTATTCATTAGGGCAAGCTGAGAAGTAAAGTTTTAGCATGAAGATATCTTAATGGAAGATGAATCATTTATATTTTTGAGAAGCAGTCTGGATCTTGCACCCCAAAATTGCCATAGACAGAGCATACAAAGGAAAAAACAATAATTTCACAATTTTAAAGAAAATGCTTTTTACACATTGAAATGTATTATGTTTTAGAGCATTTCAAAGATTAAAAGTGATCCAGACAAGATTACATTCTAACATATAACATGTGAACCTACTATCACAACAAATCCTTAAAATATTTTTTTATCTAAGAAGAAAACTGAATGCCATACATCTGATTGTCACAGTGCAATAAGTTCACTACTTCTAAATATCAAACGATCAGTTCAGGGTCAGACTGATGCAGGGAAAATGTCACAGGATGAAAGCAGAATGAGATACCGGCAGAAAAGACCTTTTCAAATAGATTTCTTCTATTAATTATTTTAAAAGAGAATATGAATTTATAGTTCTTCACCATTTGTTTCAAACTTAAACCTCCCTTGCATATAACAAACTATGAATGAGATTTTTTAAATAAACTAATTGCATTTCAATTTGTAATCTGCATTTATAATTATGTTGAGTCATCTTGATGGTGACCATCCACCAATGCCTGTGAGTTGAGCTAATTCTCAATCCCCTTTGCAAGACCCTATGTCTCCCCAAATCTGCTGCAGCGAGCTAGGGACCTTCCTCAGAGAAGAATGTTGCATTGCATGACCCTAATGTAAACTGGGTTGTTGTTGTTGTTGTGTGCCTTTAAGTTGTTTCTGATTTATGGTGACCCTAAGGAGACCCTTCCACAGGTATTTCTTGGCAATAATTGTTTGGGGGGGGGGGTGTCCAAGTTAGGATTTCGTCCAAGTTGGGCTTTGAATCTTGGTCTTTGGGGTCACACTCCAACACTCAAACCATTACACCACACGGATTTACTTTTTTTTTTAATCACAGGTTATTTTATCTGTTAGAATATTTCGAGTATTGAAAGGGAAATAGAGGGAGAGGAATGAGAACAGAGATGAGCAGGATTAAAGAAATAAAGAAACAAGAATCTATTCCCTGTATTGACGAAGGCTTTCATGGCTGGAATCACTAGGTTCTTGTGGGTTTTTTCGGGCTATAGAGCCATGTTCTAGAGGCATTTCTCCTGACGTTTCGCCTGCATCTATGGCAAGCATCCTCAGAGGTAGTGAGGTCTGTTGGAATCAGGACAATGGGTTTATATATCTGTGGAATGGCTGGGGTGGGGCAAGGAGCTCTTCCCTGCTGCAGTTCCCAATCTATTCCCTTTCTCCACCTGGCCTCCCAGCCTATCTTAGAGTGTATTTATGCGTGAGAGTGGATGAAAGAGAGAGGAAGTAAGAGCACACTATGCTTGCCCAAGACTCAGATGAGGGCCAATCGGAGGAGAAAGGGTAAAAGGAAGTATACGGATTGGGTTGTTTCAGGTTTTTCAGACTATATGGCCATGTTATAGAAGCATTCTCTCCCGAAAAACCTATAACAACCCAGTGTTTCCGGCCATGAAAGCCTTCGACAATACAGTATATGGATTTTTTTGAAACCTCACAGACTTCTCAAAGAAATCAATGCTGCTCTCTGCCCCTCTCCACTTCTAACCCAGAATCCTAACCTCTGAGACACATCCCATCACTCTTCTGCTGCTGAACTTGATTGCGACTGTATCCCTTGGAAAGTCACTGTTCAATACTAGAGCTGGATGGGGTTGGATCTCTGCTGACCATCAATTTCTACAATGCCTATACACTGCCCCTCACGCCAAACACCAATGTGTTGTAAGAAAGGATCAGAGATCTGAACATAGTAGTGGTTTCTCTCTGCAGGATAAGAGAACAGAGCTTGGTATTGTTTCATTTACATCTCCTGTTTATTGTTTTGGCCATGAATCATAAAGTAACTGTGCCCCTTCACCATCTATTTTGTCTTCTATTAATTGGTAAGTGATTTTGATCCAATTTGGCCTACCCTCTTGTACGTATAATTTAGAGGAAGTTAGTATTGAATTGTAACATACATCCTGGTTCGAACTTTCTGCATCAAAATAACTCCGTGTTTTTGAAATTACTGTTTCTGAAAACAATCAAGAACCCTAGAGACTAATGCCAACAAGGAATTACATAAATATCAGCCAGATTAGGATAAGCAAAGTGGTGGGGAAAGTGTACAAAAGCCATAGCACTCCAGTCTTGGAGACAAATGACTCACAAAATTTATGCAACTATAACATGGGCAGTTACATTTGTTTTGAGCTAGTACCTTCTGCGAACCTACTTGCATGGCTGACCTACCTCTAATGGCATGTGAGTTCAAGGGAGTCAATTTTTTCCAAAGTATATTTAGCTAATTTGCACATGACTGATAAATTGTTAGGCATGTACAGGGTCCAAGATCACCATGCCTCCTACCAAGTATCTCTGCTGCAACCAACAGCTCTTAAAAATTATTTTGACCTTTATCCGGCGTTCTTACACATCAACAATTACCACAACATCAAAACAGACTTTCAAAGGCACTATTCTTATAACCCATTCAGGTGATTTTAGGATGTTAAACATTAAACAATGTGAATAACACAAATTCTGTTTTTCTTTTCAAAAGTCACTCAAGTAGCACCTTACAGAATTATAATGAGAGCTGGGACAACACAGCAGGTAGGAGAAACTAAGCTACCAACCAGGAAGTTCTTGGTGTGAATCTTACCTGCACCATTAAATCTAGTTTTCACGTTTGGGTGGGCAAAAACATAAAATTCTAGAACACAGATGGGGAATTTGTGATTCAGAAAGAACACTCCCCCCCCCCCAAATCTTCTCTTTGTGTAATTAATGCAGAGAGAAAAATAAATGTTAGAGGGAAAAGAGAAGGACCAAAAGCCTGCTACTGATAGTTCTCTGAAGGTGTCCAAGACAGCATGTTTGAGCTATAACCAACCTTTTCCAAGACAATTTGAAGCCTCTCATCCAGGTTCTGCCCTGAGACAGATAAAACAGTGGGAGCTAGCTGTAAAGGGTGATGAAAATGTTTCATCACTTTAGAAAAAAACCATCAACCCTTAAGTTAAAACTTCCTGGTGACAAATTCCAGACATTCCAACATGAATGAAAATGGTATCAGAAGAGCAGAATGTTCACAACATCACCGTATTTTTACTTCTTTGTCAGTCAGATATCTAACATTGTGAATGGCCCCTGCAAGATGGTGCACATATTTCATCACAAGAATCAAAATCTTCTCTAGAATCCTAACCAACAGACCACTATGTAATTATATGAAGCAGAAACATTTCATTCCTAATTAAAATCAGATTCAGTTATGCTGTGGACATAAAGAGACACTGCGATGACCATGGAAGAATTCATTTTCACCCTTCTGCTTCAATGCATGCGCTATTACTGTTAAAAACAAGCTCCTGTAACAGCTGGGATGAAACTGGTAATTCTGTTACTAGGATAATTGGCTAGACAACCTATTATTATTGCCTAACAGCATATTAACGGCTGGTGTTTAGGGAACTAGGATTTTCTTGGCAAGAGAAATGCTAACTTATTGCCAGGCTTCCAGTGCTTCAGTCCACACTGGGCACACAATGTTAGGCAGAAAAGGCATCACTCATTCTCATCTACTAGCTAAGGATCCAGTTCAATCCAGCTCCCCCTCCTACTGCTTTATTCTTCTGAGTACACCAGCTGCTAAACTAGAACTGTAAGTATACCTTGTGTCCACTTTCAATAGATGCCCATCTGCACACTGCACTAAGCAGCGGATTGCATAAACGTTCATGTAATTGTTGTGCAAAGACATTATCTTTACCTAACAGGCAATATTTTGATTTACACTAAACACAAATCTTCAGGTTTCCACTTGTTTAGATTCCTAATTAATAATAATCCTGGAACCCTAACAACCGTTCTACTGGGTGGAGGAACCTTTCTTAAAATCAGCAATAGAAACACTTATAAGAAAAGTGGAAATCACTAGGTTTGCTCTGATACAACTATGAAATGGGGATAGAAGGATTCATAGTTCTGACAATTATGTTAATTCACTTGAAGTCACACAATTTGACTTCTGTTCTTGAAAGCTAAGTAAAGGCAGCCATGATTCAGACTTGGATGGGAGATTACCAATTAATACAAGGTCTTGCAGGCAGTATTTCAGAGACAGGAACTAGCAAAATCATTTCTGAATATTCCTTGCATAAGAAACCCTGTGAAATTCATGGGGCCACAATAAGTTGACAGGTGACTTGAAGGTGCTACATACACACAAGGAGCTTTTGCCTTGTTTAAAATCACAACCACATTCCTAGGTTTTTTTAGTTGCTGTCACACTTGTAAAGTGCAGCAGTGTGGCAGCAATACTAAACCAAAAGTGATAGCTGTAGGATGCAGCTGCATGGGGGTGAAGGGTCCAAAGAAGCCAACCCACCTCCATATTTAAGTCCTGCTACATGGTAATTCGCAACATTTTTAGCTCAGAATAAATTTAGTCTGGATTATAATAGGTATCCATACCTCAACCCAAGCTTTTTCACTGGCAACATTTCTTTAGGAAAAAAACCCAGTAACTTACTTAATTGAATTTCTAAAATGATCCTCAGCAGGGCTTTTCACTGTACAACTGTTCAACAGCCACAGGTCTGCTTCCGCAGCATTCTCTGAAAGACAGATATACATAAAATACAATTAGATTTTTATCTAGGGGACCCTACTTTCTATCACGTTAACAGAAACAGGTTAAGAAAGCTGTGTAGCTATCAGATGCTATCAGATACTTAAAGAAGGCTTAAGGAATCAATTTCATTGTGCGTTTGTAGAATTTTTTATAGTATTTGTGTATTTTTACTATGCTGTGACCTGCCTCGAGCCAGTGAGAAAGGCAGGTAAGAAATAAAAATTATTGTTATTATTATTATTATTATTATTATTATTATTATTATTATTGCCTTTATAATGTTAGAAACCACTTTGAGTTTCCTTAGGGGGAGAAAAGCAGTATATAAATGTAGTAATTAAGTAAGTAAATAAATAAATTATCATCGTCATCATCATCATACATTTAAAAGAATTATTAACACACACACACACACACTCTTAAGTGCAATGAGAATGTTTCATAAATGAAGACACAGATGCTAAACTAAATCAGTAAACTCTATGTAAAGTGTTTCAGCCACAGTGGGTTGCTGACACTTGGTCTGCATAATTCTGGACTTCACAAATTTCTACATACCGAGATCACCATTTTTTTCTCATGACAATCAGATTTGCAATAAAAGACACTTATTGAGTTTCTATGTTCCTCCTTTAGTGTTAAAATGCAACTCCTTTCTCCCTTACGTATCACAGAGCAATAGTATACTTATTGTTGAGTATGGGTGAACACTGACCATTGGGGTCCAACAAGAGGTTCATGCTCCTTTCCCCAACCTCCCTTGTTCGCTACAAGAGATCCGGGGATTTATTTTTATCCCAAGGGATGCATTTCTCCATTAGTAAACATCAAAGGGCTATTTAGTTGCAGTTGGTGAAGTCAAAGCCACATGTCTACATTTATCCAAACATTCCCCACCCCAAAGACTGCAGCCTTGTGCCCCATGTTCTGTTTTAGGCAAGGCAATACAGCAAGTGGATGAAATGAAGGCACCAGGCAGACTTGAGATGGGTTTACCATCTAGGATAAGAAGATTGTGGTTAGTTTCATTTTGTTCTTCTGCAGTGTTTGATATATCAACATTCAGGCATTTGGATAGTAATGTTAGAACTCCCATGAAAGTCCTCATTCCACTCATACTTCCAAGAAATATTTTTGGAATGTCAAGGCTAGATCAAAATTTGCAAAACAGATGGGCAAGAATATCCAGTGTATACTTTACAGAGTATCTATTTGGGGAATACATAAAACACTAAAACATTTTTACATGTAATGGTGTTTTTTTCCGCATTACTTCTGTATTAGAAATTTTTGAAGGACAACCATGTTTAGATCAGTGGTCCATGTGTTAGTTTTTCAGGATCAAGATATGAAACGGTTTAGTTCAAATTGCTAGTAATTTTGTACTCAAGTCCAAATGCTGCTTTTTGCTATCACAAAAAGCAGCATTTCTCCAAGGGATACTGCTTATAAGGGATTCAATAATAATAATCAGAATTGTTTAGATAACTCAAAGAAGTGATTTTTTTTAAAAAAAAATCTTTTGGTTTCCTTCTTCAAGAAACAAGAAACAAATATTGTACAAGCCAAAACAAATCAATCAGGTTTTTGTAAAACACCATCAACAGTGAAGAAATTCAAATGATCATGGAAACTTCTGAACAATCTCAACATAACAGAAGGATATGGACAGCACAAATTCTGAAATAGGAGAAGGACAATGTGGTAAAGCACTTAAGTGAGTAACAAAGGTATTTACAGATGACAGTGAAATATAAACTCTTTGTTTTTATTGCCAGTATTTTTGTTTATATCATCGTTTCAAACAGATTCCAGATCAAGTGTGGACAGTTGCCACACCGGCAAATTCCATGCCACGCACCTAAGCCTACTCACCAGTTTTGACTGTCACTTGCCCTAGACAATATTATTTCCTGGTTCAATAAGGGTCCTTCCTGTGTCAGAAATAGTTACCATACTGCCAAGTTTTTTGCCTAATGGGTGGTATATACACCATAGTCATATTATTTTCACTCTCAAATAGAAGGAAGAGACAACTTTACTGTAAGACCTCATGATCAGAATGGTGCTCATGTCGTGATGCTGCTCAAACTACTAATAACAAGACAATGGGAGGAAAGGCCGCCTCTTCTTCTAAAGCCAACAAAGGTGAGCTTTCATTATTCAAGGGGACTTAACTGGTGATTCCTCCACTGGGCAATTTGAAATAATGCAATAATTGGATGTCAGAAACCCAATCCTAAATTTAAATTCAAATTTAATCATACATGATTTTGTAGAAATGTAACAGTTTCAGGAAACTTGCTTTAATGAAAAATACAGGATAACCAAAAGGCACTCTCAAATACTTAGCCATACATTTTTTAAACGAATGAATATTTTAACTGCATTCACCAGCATCAGTAGCATACAAAGTATTTTAGATCAAACTATAGAGATCTAACTTCTAAAAACTCAGATTTTCTCCTTCACAGCTATTTTGCTCCTTAGCACAAGCTGACTTGCAGTTTTGAAAGTCTCCCACTGATTTTCATACATATGTTTTCACAAGAGTCAAGGTCAGCTTATAAACTGAAACATATTCTTCTCCAATATCTATTTCCCAGCTTATATTTCTGCAAATTCTGTCTGTATTATGTTGTACCCAGAGGCAATATATTGATTTCAAATGCCTTGCCTCCACTTATTTCCCCTGACATCTAATCCCACATGGAGTCTGGATTTAAGCTACATCTATCACTTTTAACACAGAGGAAGCTAAAATATAGGGGAACTTATCTGAGCCAGATATGTCCAAACACTTATTAAATTGTAGCTTCCAGCTAGTTATTGACTTTCACAGAATTACCTTCATACTTTATCCATTCGTTACTGTATCTCAGATACAGAAACCACAGTATACAGAGCTGAAGGTCTCTCGCCCAGAAGCCACATTAAAGCTTTAAAAATGTTCCAACAGTTATCTCCTGATCTAGGATATTAAGTGAATAGAATGGCTTGGAAAAGTTCCAAAATAAGGATATGAGAAATTCAAGTTAAGTGTATTCTAACTGAATGTCTAATGGATACCAAAAAATCTAATAACATACACAACCAGGTTTCTATTATACCTTTGGTTGGTTGTTCCCTTCCTCTCTCTTTGAGTAGTTTTAGCTCCATTCTCAACCCCCAAACTTGGGTATAAAATAGCTTGAAGAAATGGAGTTGTGGGGATTTATGTTGAGAGATAGGATTGGTAAATTGTACAACTGCAATCTGTGACAGATGAAAACAGAGTGTTTCAACCTGGAGATCAGGAGCCCTAGGGAGGTTGTGAGGGGGTTTCAGAGAGATCGCCAAAGACCATTGCAAAGCACATATTACTGATCATCTTAGGAACCCCTTTGGTAGGAGAAGGTTGAAGATCTCTCAGCCTGTCCTTCTCTTCCTTTTTGGAAACAGATGGCAAATCCTCCCACCAAAAGCCCTTCTCTGCTGTGATTGGCCAGCCTCTAAGTCAAGGGGAGGGCTGTTTCCGAGTTTCCAAGAAGGGAGGGGAGAGCAGGCATGCTTGGCGCATAGCAGCGTGGTGTACATGCGAGGGAGAGCGTGTAAGGCTGGAGGAAGGCTCGCACCAGCGAGTCCCTTCCAGGCATGTGTTCACATTTGGGTATATTGAGGATTCGTGCCAAGTTTGCTCCAGATCTTTCATTGTTTGAGTCTACAGTGCTCTCTGGATGTAGGTGAACTACAACTCCAAAACTCAAGGGAAATGCCCACCAAACCCTTCCAGTACTTTCTGTTGGTCATGGGAGTTCTGTGTGCCAAGTTTGGTTCAATTCCACTATCGGTGAAGTACAGAATGCTCCTTGATTGCAGGTGAACTATAAATCCCAGCAACAAAATCAATCCACCACAACCCCACCAGTATTCAAATTTGGGCATATCGGGTATTTGTGTCAAATTTGGTCTAGTGAATGAAAATACATCCTGCATATCAGATATTTACATTACGATTCATAAAAGTAGCAAATTTACAGTTATGAAATAGCAACAAAAATAATTTTATGGTTGGGTATCACCACAACATAAGTATTAAGTGGTCATAGCATTATGAAGGTTGAGAAAGACTGGATTAAAAGCTTGGTGAGGGCAGTGGATTTTTCTTATTTTAAGACGTCACTCGTTTTAGATATAGCAGGCTGTAACACACATAGGTGTCTAAGTATATACTATTTTTTCCTTGTAGTTAACCTCATCTACAAAGAAGGTATTGGCGGGGGGGGGGACAGGTACGGAGAGGCCAACGACTTATGATCCTTTCTGAAAATTGCCCTTCTGAGGGTTTTTGGAACTGAGAAACTTCATGTGACTTACTTATGCCTTGGACTTTTTAAAAAGTCTAAGTAAGGTTCCGATTACAAGGCTATGGTTCAAAATTGAAAATACATGATTAAAATCAAAATATATGAAACATGAACTAATTCATTTTCACTGATGTGACAGACTACTTTTTTGGAGAAGCCACTGCCCATTCCCATTTTTTTCCGGTAAGTGTGTGACTCAAGATATTTACCATCACATACTAGTGTCACCAGAACATTTAGCCCACCCAGCCTTCACTGCCCTCAATACCCCCACTTTTGTGTTTGGGGACACTTTAATCTTGTGGAAGACTGCCATAGCAACATGTACATTAGTCACAAGACATCATCCATTTCAAATCACCAGTCATGAGAACAGTGAGTGAATAAAATAAGGAAAGGGTGGGGACTCCATTTTTACTTTATATAAGGTGACTTACATCACCAGGAGGAAAAGAAATATGTGCTGAAACTTGCCAAAGCTACTCTGCCTCTATAGAGGCCTATTAATCCCAGTAACTTCAAATTTCAACTATGATTGCCAAGCAGGAACACCTCTTAAGTCAAAGGCCACAGTGCAAAATAATCTATGCAAACAAATTAAGGAATAACTCCATAGCATTAATCAACTGCAATCTCC